ATCAGCCTAGTATTACATAAATACATTAAAGAGAACATAAAGTGCAAATTTTAATAGCTTTAGTATTGGTGGAATTTCCAATAGTTTTGATATATGTTTGACCTCATTGGCAAAAATGGAAAGAAGTGTTTTTTTATTAGTGTAACAGCATTTATGCATGTGCCATTTGGCTAAGTATATAAGATTAATAATATAAAAATGTTTTTTCAGCTGTTGGATAGTTAATGAAGCAAAACAATACATGTTCAAAAGAAATGGAGACATACGGTTGAATAGAAGCAGAAATCACAAACAGAGAGGCCTTTGAGGTTAGGGTTATATCCCAGCTTGATAGGACGTTCCTATATAGACTTTGACTAGGCTAGAAAATTAATGGGAGTCTGTGGCACATATATGAAGGGAGTGGGCTAGGGCCACCAAACATGGTGGGCACCTGCAGAGGGCTGGAGGGAGTATACACTCTAAGTTTGATCTAATGAGCACTTATACTTTTTCAGTTATTTTGAGTGAGCAATTTTTCAAATAAATGGGGTAAATGGCAGCTACTGTATGTGAAGGGAATATGCCACACCCACCAAACTTGGAGGGCATGTGGGGCCCCTCCCACAGACTCTCTGTGTCAAGTTTGTTCCCCCTACTACATTAAGTTTTTGAGTAATTGAATTTGCTCAAGTGTGCAAGTGGCTTTTCGTCGTCCATCCATTCTCTAACACCCTTGTCCCTTAGTGAGGTCAGGAGATGCTGCTGCCTCTCCAGCTAACGTTCCCCGAGAGGCGGGGTCACCCTGGAAAGGTCACCAATCTGTCGCAGGGCAACACAGAGACAGAGAGGACAAATAACCATGCACAGACACACTCACACCTAAGAAGAATTTATAGAAACCAATTAACCTGACAGTCATGTTTTTGGACTGTGGGAGGAAGCCGAAGAACCCGGAGAGAACCCACCATGCACAGGGAGAACATGCAGACTCCATGCAGAAAGACCGCAGGCTGGGAATAAAACCCAGAACCTTCTTGCTGCAAGGCAACAGCTCTACGAACTGCACCACTGTGCAGCCCTCTGGCTTTTTTTTTTTAAATTTTTTATTTTTATTTTTTCATCTTTATTTTCTAAAGAACACATAACACTGGAACTGATTAAATAAACAAAACAACCAAAAATAAAATGGATTCTCAGTCTCCATTATCAAAAAACGTACTTAAATAAAAACTAAACAACATGAAGCCAAAGTGGAAATAAATACTAGTGCAGATTATGAAGTCTGTATACTGTACTGCCCTTCAGTATCACTAGATTTAATGGGCACATCCGACCACCTAATGCAGTAGTTCACACTACACCATGTTCTGCCCCCATTTTCCCTTATAACAATCTTAGATCGTTGGCCGATCCAAGATTGTCGCTGCTGATTTCGTAACCGATCATCCTGCAGTGTGATGTAGATCGTCGTGGCTCCGATCTAAATCAGGGTTTTTCCCCGACTGGGAGTTTAACGCTGAATGTGACAGGTAGCCAATCAGAAAGCACGGATTCTCCTCGTGCTTTCTGAGGGGAAATTACGGAGGGGAATCCCAAACAGCTGACACGGCGCAACCCGAAGTCCAGCGGACATTGGAGATGATATGTGGAAACACTATTAATATTTATTCAACATTTCGTGCAAAGAATATAGAAATGACAAGGGGAGGAGTTGGAGCCAAATTGCTACCGTAGTTGATAAACCCGGTAACTTTTCAGCTGTTCTTCGTTAACGTGACATAAAAAGGTTATAATGATTTTCATTCGGTCCGGACTTTACGCTGACTCTAGCCACATGCATCACAGGTAGATTCTAGTAAAGCATTGATTAATGCCTGATTTTAAAATTAGTTAACTGGACTTGTAGCCATTATTTTGTGCCCATGTGGCTGGACACCACACGGCACGACGAACCCGATCGAACCGTTATACCCAGGATTTCTGTCGGCTAATGTGTCTCAGGTTTTGAAAATCGGCCAACAACTCGTGTGTGTGAGCTGGACATTAGGAAATGAGGAAGGGAGGGTCAGTGCAGAGACCGGAGCTGAGCCTTTTTCATTCGGTGTCATCAGCAAAGAAAAAGGGAGGAAGAGACGATAAAGCTGATAATTAAAATGAAGTCGATATGTTTAATTTATCGTGCGATTTATCGTTTATTGCGACAGGCCTAGTTCATATGAAAATTCAGTGACAAAAACACAAAGTTTCTCTAAGATGTAAAATATTTTATTTTCTGTAAATGATTCTAAATCAGATTCACCATATTTTCCAGAAACATCACTTTGTTTACATCCATTAATAAAAAAAAACAGAGACAAGGCTTCATGTCGTCTATCTGTACACAGCAGAGCCTGAATAAACCTCATATTTACACGGCGGCAGATGCCTGCAGCCTAAACTCTGGGTGAAGTAACAGACGCCTGTCCACACAAGGGAGTGGGGGCGGGGGTGCTCTAATCTGTGTCTGACTTTTTACTTATGGTACAGATATTTACACACTGCCACACTGGACCTCAAATGCACCGCAGTTTTAGAAAATAGCTTAATTCATTAATAAATACAAAAAGAAAAAAATCTCTTATTTTACAGGAAACTGATGAGGAGGAGGAAGAGGGGAGGACCAAGCGGTGGAATCAGGTAGGTGTGTGTGTGTTTGTCATTTAATGTTTAGTGCAAGTTAAAGGACGACACATTCGCTTATTTCAGTGGTGTTTACACTCACATTTACAACCAATTTACAGTGAGGACCAGCCTCTTAGTAAGCTCCGCCCCATCAGCACAGACTCCACCCTCTCCAGATTATAAATGTGTCCCATTTGTAAATTAATTAAGTATAAACTTTAGTTCCTCTGATCTAATTAATCAGTTTTATTATGGTGTCATGCTAGCTCTGCCCATAGACCAGTGATGATGTCATGTTAACTCCGCCCACAGTGCGCCAGAGGCCTCCATGCTCTCAGTTCATCCATTTGCGGCAGTTCACGGCTCCACAGTGACACGGGATCTTGTGCTGGTCATCTTCCAGGTCAAACTTGTAGTCGTAGCATAGCTGAAGGGAGCAGAGCTAACATGATGAGCCAATCACATTCAGGCTGCCTGATAATGGACAGATTGTTGCATCGACTCTACCTCCTCTCCTCTCTGAATGCGTCTGCAGGAGCTGATGATGATCTTGTTCTCCTTCTCCACCGTCACCACCTCAGTGATGCAGTTCGGAGCACACGAGTGGTTGATGTACCTGTCAGTCACCCAAAGACCCGCCCCATTCCCAGGTGAGCACAGAGCAGGTTCTGCCAGCAGGCACTTTAGATCTCTGTCTCTTACCTTGCCGGTCCTCCGGTGATGGTAGCGTCGATCACATAGTCGTTGTCAATCCGAAACATGTACACGCCTCGGTTCTGCAAACACCAGAACAGATGATTTACATGAGCTACAAGACCAAAGCAAATCAGAGGAGCTGATTAGTTAATTCTGATCAGGGCACATCCAATCAGATGAGGGGAG